GACACAGTTTCACCCCAGGGTGAGGTTGTGGCAATAAGTGACTCACTGAGCACTGTGTGTTTGCAGGAGGGGGAAACATCTATTGTTTCCCTTCTGGAACAATTGACGTGCTCCAGTTCTGTCTGTTCCTGTTCTACATGGTTGCATTTCACACCACAAGTATCCCCATCTCTGTGTCACCTCTCACCTGTCAGCTCCTGGTGCGTGTGAGCAACATCAGTTGGGAAGAGCACGAGGAACTTGATTGTTTGTGTTGCAGATTGATTTGTAAATCAGCTTTGCTGCAGCCAGGTTTGATGTCCTCACTCTCCTTGGCGTGATTGCAGCTTCACGTCTGTGTGGAACCACACGGTGCTCTAAAAGCATGTAGAAGGATGGAAACCTCCTGGGGAAATCCATCACTTGCCAAGGCTTTGAGGAGAGAAGTGTCTGTGGAGCAGTTTAGTCATGCTCAGTGAACTTATCACTGCAAATGCCAGGGAGAGGTCATCAAAAATACAACGGGCTCGTTACTCACTACCTGCTTTGCAACCTCGAAAATAGATCTAATAACTTATAAATAAGGTAATAAGTGGTGGGTAAAATGACTGATCTCGGGCACCGAATGGAAGGTGAGGGAGCAATGAGCCCTTGCGGCAGTGGAGGCCACCAGCACCCTGGAGAGCATCCCGGGAATGCTGCCAGCGCGTCAGGGAGGCGATCCCTCCCCTCTGCCAGCACTGGGGGAAACACCTGCACTGCTGGAACCAGTGATGGGCTCCCCAGTACAGCAGAGCCACGGGCAGACTGCAGTACGGCCAGAAAAGGGCCAGGAAGGTGCTAAAGAGACGAGGGTGTGGGGGAGGCTGAGAGCTGGATCTTAGCCTGGACAGCGACAGGCTCGGGGATCTCATTAATACAGGTAATTAACTGAGAGGTGAGCAAAGATAGAACCAGTCCCTTCCCAGCTGTGCCCAGTGCCACGGTAGAAACATCAGTTTTGGAGCAGCTGAGGGCACTTGGTGTGTTCAGCTGGAGCAGAGGAGACTGAGGGGAGACCTCCCTGCAGTTCCAACTGCCTGGGCAGGGGCAGAGGAGGGGCAGGACTGAGCTCTGCTCTGGGGGGAGCAGGGACAGCCCCCAGGGAATGGCTGGAGCTGTGTCAGGGCAGGCTCAGGGTGGATCTCAGCAAAAGGTTCTTCCCCCACAGGCTGGTTGGGCACTGAACAGGCTC